GCTGTAAGTGTCCAAAGTGGTAGAGTACCAGCCTTAAGCCAAAAAGCTATAGGACAGACCAAGGCCTGAGTTCAAGCCTAGCAACTGAACACACACACACACACACACACACACACACACACACACACACACACACACACACACACACACACACACACACACACACACACACACACACACACACACACACACACACACACACACCAGGAAGGTAAATGCCAGCTGCATGACACACTCCATCCAGAAAGGAAAAGCCTCCCTACACAAAGAATAAAGGACTCTGGAGATGCTGATAAAATTCTGGAAGGACATTTGGATTCAGCATTGACTCCTTTCCCTCTTCCATCTGTAAGATGCTTCTGCTGGATCTTGTGAACTAACTAAAAGTCTCACAACTTTATCTGTATCCTTTTTGTTATTAGTGGTGGTGGTTGTGAGCCTTAAAACTCAGAGCCTAGGCATTGTCCTGGAGCATTTTTTTGTTTTGTTTTATTTTGTTTTTGTTGGTCAGGGGGCTTGAACTCTGGGCCTGAGCACTGTCCCTCAGCTCTTCAGCTCAAGGCTAGCGCTCTACCACTTGAGCCACAGCACCACTTCCAGTTTTCCGGCCCCGGCTGGCTTTGAACCAGATCTCAGGCCTCCTGAGTAGCTAGGATTACAGGCATGAGCCACCAGCGCCCAGCTCCCTGAGCATTTTTGTTCAAGGCTAGCTCTCTACTACTTGGAGCCTCAGACCCACTTCTGGTTTTCTAGCAGTTGATTGGAGATAATTCTCACAGTCTGATTTTGAACCTTGATCCTCAGATCACCTCCTTAGTAGCTAGCATTACAAGTATGAGCCACCAGTGCCTGGCTTTATCTGTGTCCTTTGATCTGGGCTATTTTCTTCTATAGTCCTTTTGCAATAACCTGTTTGCAAGAGGAAAGAGAAGATTCAGTGATAAGCATCATTTTGATGCTCTCATTTTGCTCTCAAGAAATTTTTTTTCTTTTTTTTTTTTTGAGAACACTAGCTGCATAATAGTCCAGCAAGTGAGTTCTATAGAATCTTCACATAAATCACAAGATTTTAATTTTATTTTATTTTTGGGTCCGGTCGTAAGGCCTGAACTCTGGGCCTGGGTGCTGTCCCTCAGCTCTTCAGCTCAAGGCTAGCACACTACCACTTGAGCCACAGCGCCACTTCCGGCTTTTTTCTTTTTGCTTATGTGGTGCTGAGCAATCGAACCCAGGGCCTCGTGCATGCAAGGCTAGCCTCTACCACTGAGTCACCTTCCCAGCCCCAAATCACAAGATTTTAATACTAAATTATGTTAGGTTAACTTCCAAAACTATTTTTTGTGCTTTAAAAATTTTAATATCTTGGGCTGGAAATGAGCCTTAGTTAGTAGAGTGCTTGCCTAGCAAGCATGAAGCCCTGGGCTCGTTCCTCAGTACCACATAAACAAAAAAGGTTGGAAGTGGCACTGTGGTTCAAGTGGTAGAGTGCTACCTTGAGCTGAAGAGCTGAGGGACAGTGCCCAGGCCCAGAGTTCAGGCCCCATGACCGGACCCAAAAAAATAAAATAAAAAAATAAAAATTGTAATACCTGTAATTCTATTTCAAGTTCATTTTTACCTTGAAGGTTCTTTGTTTTAATTTTTATTTATTTTTTATTGTGAAAATACTGTACAGAGGGGTTACAATTACATGGGCAAGATAGTGAGTACATTTCTTATCAAGCATTGTAGCCTCCTCCTTTGTTTCCCCTTCCCATCCCTTCCCATCCCTTCCCTTCTCCCCGTCCCCCCCCCCACCACCAAAATTGTAAAGTTCGTTTTGAACATAACGACTTGTACTTCTCATTGTTGCAACGGGTCCACCTGTATCCTTATTTAAACGAACCTTGAAGGTTCTTACCCACATTAAAGTTTATTTTACTTTATTTTGTTTTAGTAAGTAGTTATACAAAGAGGTTTCAATTCCATGAGTCAGGATAAGAGTATAATGCATCTTGATATATCAGCCCTTCCATCCTTCTCCCCCAACTTTCAAGCAATGTCTTCTTTATATCATCTTAAAGCAAATAGGCAGAACCTCAAAGAATTGTTCTTGTTCTGTTTCCGTAATTAAGTAATACCAGCCTTTCTAGAAGTCCTCCAAAGACAAAGACTGAATGAATGATGTGGCTCAAGTTGTAGATGTAAGGTCTGCTCTGGGAAGTCAAAGCAGACTCCTCCCTCCTCTTGGCTAAGTCTCCGCCCAGTACCTTTGTCACCTAGGTAACTGGCACACCTGGGCAGTGACCTCCCCCTCCTCCAAGGTCACATCCTGGGCCACCCCTGGTCACAATTCCCATCCGACCAGAGGAGAATCCTAGGCCCTTAAGTCACATCCACACTAGTGTGGCCACACCTTCCCTCACCTGTCCATACCTTCTCCCTGCCCCCTTTCTACTTAACCCCAGGTCTGAACTCAGCCCGCCCTTTTCCGCCACGTGGTCTCCACCTTACCTAATTAAACCTACCTACTTAAATACCTAAGGAGGGGCAGTCTTGAGCAGAAAAGTCAAACAAGAATGTGAGGCCCTGGGTTCAAGCCTTCCTCTGTGTGTGTGTGTATGTGCGCACACACATGCACACGCAGAAGTGCACAATTTCCTCTGGCCTTAGATTAAATGTACTAAGAACAGAAGGCCACAATGATTTGGTATGAGACATCTGCCTAGAACTCAATTTTTTCTTCTGCATTGGCACCAGTCTTTCCCTCTCCAAGTTCAAATTCCTATCCACAAAACCAGCACAAAGAAAGAACAATGTATCATTCTTGGAGATGAAGAATAAAAGATGTACAGCCATATCCTGCTGCCTTGTTTATCCAGTTTACTATTACCCTGTCATCACAGATAAGCAGGAAATGATACCACATATCTTAAGAGACAATCTAGTATTGTGCTCTGCCTTAAAACAGAAGTTGATATTATGTTCATTTTATAAATGATGTAATACAAGTACTTGTCCAAACCTGTAAATTCATACATGGGACAGGAGAGCCCAGTTTTCCTACCTCCAAGTTGATTCTGAGCTCCTACCTCCTGGCCTGGTCCTTGTAGAAAGATATAAAGACTTATCACTAAAGATTGAAAATGAAAATTAACACTGTCACGATGGAGTAGGGCCTGTGCCTTCCAAAAGAAAAAGGAAGAAAGCCAGGCACCCGTGGCTCAAGCCTGTAATCCTAGCTATCCAAGAGACTGAGATCTGAGGATAGTGGTTCAAAGCCAGCCCAAGTGGGAAAGTCCATGAGACTCTTACCGCCAATAAAGCACCAGAAAACCAGAAGTGGCACAGTGGCTCAAGTGGTAGAGCACTAGCCTTGAATTGAAGAGCTGAAGAACATAGTTCAATCCCCATGACCAACAACAACAGCAAGACCAAGTGTGACCCATCAAACCCATGTCAAAATTACCCCTTGAGGGCTGGGAAGGTGGATTAGTGGCAGAGTGCTTGCCTACCATGGATGAAACCCTGGGTTTGATTCCTCAGTACCACATACACAGAAAAAGCCAGAAGTGGTGCTATGGCTCAAGTGGTAGAGCGCTAGCCTTGAGCAAAAAGAAGCTCAGGGACAGCACTCAGGCCCTGAGTTCAAGCTCCAGACTGGCTGGCACGTGCACATACACACACACACACACACACACACACACACACACACACAAATTACCCCCTTGGTTCCCTGGACATGCTAGTCCTTGTACGTCTTTGAAGCTATCTCTGGGGCTGACATATAGCTCTGAGGAAGCCTGGAATGGCAGCAACAGTCTGGACAGTCTGCCATCCTTAAGAAAGCCCAGATCAGCACTTAACAACTGGGCCCCTAACAACTGGGGCTCACAGAGGGGAGTCTGTGCTGGCCTAAAAGAGAAGGGGTTTGGAGAGAACCCCTGGAGCCCCCCAGCCAACCACACTAACTCCTGGAGCTAAGTAAATGTTTTAGAAGATGGTAGTAGGTGCAGTCAGGAGAACATCCTTCTACCTTCTACCAAAGGATGGGAAGACCCCAGATGAAGCCTAGACACACCCTGGTCTGGAACAATTCAGTCCTAAACTACAGTCAGTCTGTCTATTTAGACTGCATCTTTTGTGTGTGCAGTCTTGACAGACCACCAAGTACAGCTTTGAGACAACAGAGCGGGTCTGCTGTCTCTGCTCTCTTACTTAGGAAATGAATTTGGGGCTCCAGATTTGCCAACCAGAACCAACCGCAGCCCACTAGACACCAGTGGCAAAGGCTGAGCTCTTCAAGAACAGCTATTCCTCGGGAAGATTCTGGAACTGGATGTGGGCACCCCAAGGAAATGACCTTCCTCATTATCCGAATTTCTTGGGGCACTTTTCGGGGAGGCAGCTCTGCCACCAGCTGGGAGAGTTGCTTCTTTGTTTCAAGGGCTGCGATGTTGCTGGGACTGGGAAAGTTTTGGTTGGGGAGGCAAAATGGGGACAAGATGAGGATTGAACTTGGTCTCCGGCGGGCTCTGAAAGGCAGCAGCGAAGTTTGCTAGGCCCCAGTGTGCACCACACTTCCTTGGCCTTAGTCTGGCCAAGCCCCGGGCTTTCTGCTGGCTTTTGGACTTCTGTTGCTTAATGAGTAAACCTAGAGCCCCAGGGAGGCCCAGGACAACTGGCGCCTTGGCTGGGGAACTTCAGCATTCTGCCGGAAGGAAGTGATCCGGGCGGAGGGGGGCCAGCCCTCTGGGGCCGTGGGGGGCTGCCCGAGTGGCCGGGGTCGGGGCTGGCCGGCTGGGAGGGAGCTGCCCGCTGCCCTCGTCCCTGCCGTGTTCAGGCACGGGGTACGGAGCGGGCCAGCCAGGGGCAGCTGGGAGCCGGCTGCGGACGGCCAGAAGGGGCGCGACGCACGGGTGCGGGGCCAGAGCAACGCGGCGCGGGGACGGGTGCGGGGCTGGATCCGGAGGCGCGGGCCAAGGGACCCCGCATCCCGGGGAATGGGGACCGGCACTCACCCCGAGAAGACAAACTTTGAGTTCCCGTATGGCCATCATGTGCTCCGGGCAGGGCCGTGCTGGGGCTCAGCAGCATCGTCCGGGCTGCACCGCGCCCGGCCTGCGTCCCGCCGTCTCCCCAAGACCGCGCCGGCCCAAGGCGGAACCGCCGTCTTGGCTATTTCTGGGCCGAGCCGGCTGCGCTGGGTCACGTGCCGCCCAGCTCCTCCCGGGCGGCGCGTGGGGTCCGGGCACAGCCGCCCCAAGGCCGCCCAGCAGCCACAGCTCAGCAGATCGCCTCCCCCTGGCCAGCTCAGAGCCTCCGCCCGCCCCCGGGACACGCCTGGGGCTGCGAGTCCTGGCGTGGGAGGCTCGATCCCTTCGGATACCACCTCTCATCCACAGAGTGGATGCTGGGCACGGAGCACTTGGGAAGCCCTTGGGAATCTATGGGGAACCCTACCATTAATGTCGTACAGTAAATCAGATATAAATCCGGTCAGGATGTCACCAGACCAGACCGAGGTGAGGTTTAGTGAAGCTGCCTTTTAAACGTAGGAACTATTCACTTAGGGACCTTGACTTGGATCTCAGAATAAGAATTTCTAGACAAGTCACAATGGTAAGAAAACTTGGCAGAGCTTTACTAAGTAAACAAGCAGGCAAGCAGACAGACAAAAAGCAGACAAATACATATGAAAGGGCAGGGGCACACTCTTTAGCAGAGTGTGGATGCCCTCATAGGGTGAGACACACCGTCCCTTGGGCTGTTGGAGTGTTTCTAGGATAAAGACAGGGGGTCTGGCTTCAAAGTTATGTAAGGATAGATGCTTTGCATTTGTTCTAATCACAACTGTTGTTAGTTCTTTCTTAGTTTCCAGGTAAGAATGCATCCTGCCAAAACAGATCCTTATCCTTGAGACAAGGAAGTGCCCTGCTCTTTGCATTTTGAGGCAGGAGGTGGCTTAAGTTTGGGGAAGCAATTTTCCCAGGAAGGCATACATCCTGTCAGACAAGTGCTCATTCTTGGGGTGAGGAGGAATGCATCTCTCAGGAAGGAATGCATCCTGTTGTCTCTCTTTGAAGCGAAGACAGCACTTCTATGTGTCTAAATACCGTACTTCTGAGTTGCCTTCACCAGATCTGTTTCCTTAAGTTATCCTGCTTCATTTCCCCTAAAATGACTGTTCCCTTAATTGTAAGGGAAGAACATGAGGGAATATCTCCTGTATTTACTGTTAGCTAACCGTACCTCATTTTCCCCTAGTGTATCCAGCTTCAAGGAGAAAACAGAGACACATTTTATTTTTGTTGTTGTTGATCATAGGGCCTGGGCGCTGTCCCTCAGCTCTTCAGTCCAAGGCTAGCACACTACCACTTGAGCTACAGCCCCACTTCTGGTTTTCTGGTGGTTAATTGGAGGTAAGAGTCTCACAGACTTCCCTGCACAGTCTGGCTTTGAATCCTGATCCTCAGATCTCAGTGTTAGATTATTAGACTTTGCCAGAGAACCACGCAGACATCCAGGTACAGAGAACAAAGAAAAGTTTAGTGCTGGGAAAGGGGCCAGCAAGACCCCTGCTCACAAGGGAGAAGTGAGAAGAAGCACCGGCTATTGTCTGGGGTGACCTATATAACCTAGGAGGTTTAGGAGGGGCTAGAAGGGACTAGGAGGCTGAGACTCTGGTGTGGACATGCGGGCCAGGGGCTTCATCATAGCAGACTAGGATTTATGGCTGCTGTCTAAATAGTAGATAGGGGATCCTGCAGCTGCCCAGACCTGAAGGTCACTCTAAGGGGCTCTTGTTGCCTTATATGGTGGTAGCTGCCCCAGAGAAGTGCCATCCCAAGGTAGAGGGTGTTGGAAGTTGATTATTTACTGCCTTTACTAAGTGGGCCTAGTGTTGCCTTGGAAGGGAGCATGCTAAGCTGTGGAGAGGGGAAGGAGTGGACTAAGCTACGGAAAGGGAGCTCATTTTGCTAACACTTAGCCTCCTGAGTCGCTAGGATTATAGATGTGAGCCACCAGTGCCTGGCAAAAGCCACATTTTGAGAGGTCGAATTTGGAGTCTTTACTAAAAGGCCAGTGACTTCAGATGAACTCTTGTCTCAAAGATCTGTAGCCAGCAAATACACTTAACACTGTTAGGAAACTGAGCCATAAGGCCCGGAGAGGAAAGAAAGAATAAAACAATAACAACAAACCAATTCAGCTCCAATGGAAAGCTGAAGTGAGATGCCATGGCAACCAGAGAAGTGCCACAAGACAGGCCATGAGCAGACAAGGAGATGTGTGGCGTAGTGTCTGAGCTGGTCTTGGCCTAAATAATGGGCGGGGGAGGGAGGGCAGGTGTTTTGGGGGCAGGGTCACAGGAAACTTGAGTTCCAGGCACTGAACTGACAGGTTTAGTAGCCTATCATCCAAGTCCCTGCCCCTGCCTCAGGGATTCAAGCACACTCCCCACCTGGGAGGCAGGGGCTTCACCTTCCCCCACCAGGAAGACAAGTTACCAGATCCTATCATTCACCACGTGGCCAAGATGACCCAGGCCAGACCAGATCTCCCCACTTCATTAAGATTATCAAGCCACCGAACAAACAACCTGGATGGGTGAGGAGAGGCAAGGTATACCTGCAGTTGTCCTCCTGATATTGGGGCTTTAAATTACCTCCTATAGCTCCTCACTTTCATTCTTATATTCATTTTTCTGTATGAAACTGGAGATGATTTCTGGAAATAGTAGACCGTTTTTACCTCCAATACTGGTCTGACAGGGCTTGAAAGGGAAATTCAATTGTCAGGGAGCTCCTTCCCTTGCTTATAGAAAGTCCAACAACTTGTGTGGTCATGGAATCCATTCCTCAGAAGTAAAGCTAGAGTCAGGAACTGATTGTAATCCTAGCTACTCAGGAGACTGAGATCTGAGGATCATTGTTCAAATCCATCTCTGGAAGGAAAGTTTGTGAGACTTTTTTTTTTTTGTCGGTCGTGGGGCTTGAACTCAGGGCCTGGGTGCTGTCCCTCAGCTCTTCAGCTCAAGGCTGGTGCTCTACCACTTGAGCCACAGCGCCACTTCCTTGTGAGACTCTGGAAGGGTCCCACACATCCATCCCAGGGGACCATGCGGAGGCAGGCAGGCACAGGAGAAAGATTATTACAAGCTTCATTAGAGGAGCTATATTTCCCCCAAGAGGGACCACATAGCCTCTGCCACCATCCAGGTAATAAGAGAGCTCTGAGGGTTGGAAGAGAGGTGGATTGGAGACCAGGGTGGAGAGAGGGAGAGGCCGGTTGTACAGTAGGAACTCCAGGGATGGAAGGGGCTCAGGTCTGGGTGGAGCAAAGAACCAAAGGTGAGCATAATACTAACAACTCATCTACTGTTAACCAGCAACAAGCCATAAGTGGAGGTAAGGCTCAATTGGTACAGTGCCAGACTGGAATGGAAATCTCAAAGGAGAGAAAATGCAAACCCTTGAGTTCAGAGTTCAAGCCCTGATCTTGGCACAAGAAGACAAGCCTTGCACTGGCTCCAGGAGGGGAAAGAGGGGGAGGGGAAAGAAGGGGAGGGGAAAGGGAAAGAAGAAAGGAGGGGAAAGAGAAAGAAAGTGGAGCTCTTGACCTTTGGCAGCTTCTTTAAGAAATGAGGAGTCTGAGTTTTTGTTTGTTTGTTTTATTTTTGGGTCCCGTCATGGGCCTGAACTCTGAGCCTGGGCGCTGCCCCTCCACAGCACCACTTGTGGCTTTTTTTGTTTGTTTTTTGCTTATGGGTGCTGAGGCATCGAACCCAGGGCCTCAAGCATGCAAGGCAAGCACTTTACCACTGAGCCACCTTCCCAGCCCGAGGAGTCTGAGTCTTATAGAAGGATCATGCTCTTTTCTCTCTGTGTTTGGCCTGGGGTGCTTCACCCACTCAAATAGCTTCTTTGGTGGCTGTTACATCATTGTTAGCCTTTGGATAGAATCTGAATCATCTGTTGATATTTCAGATTGGAAACTTTGTTTTGTTTTTGTGCAGGTACCTGGGCTTGAACTCTGGGCCTGAAGGCTGTCTTTAGTTTTTTTTACTCAGGGCTAGTGTTCCACCACTTGAGCCACAGCTCTGAGGCAGGAGGAAAAGGAGGCCTGATGAAGGCAACTCAGAAACACGGTAATTAGAAACATAGAAACACCATCTATGTTTCAAAGAAAAGCAACAGGATGCATTCCTTCCTGAGAGATGCATGTCTCACCCCAAGAATTGATATTTGTTTGGTAGGATATATGCTATCCTGAGAGAAATGCTCCCCCAAAACATAAGCAATCACCTACCAAAAATGTAGACAACACGACACCTTCCTTATCTTAAAGAGAAGCATCTGGATGCCTTCCTTATCTCTAGGATAAGTATCTGTTTTATGTCTGGATGCATTCTTACCTGGAAGAAAAGCCCAAAACACCCAAGAACATTAGGAAAGATTAGAGCAAAGATAAAACATCTATCTTTGCATAACTTTGAAATCAGACTGCTTGCCTTTACCATATAAATACCCCTGACAGCCAAAGAGCTGAGAATCTCTCCCTTTGAAGCACCCACACTCTGTTAGTTTGCCCCTGCTTTTCTGCTTGTCTGTCTGCTTTTTATCTGCTTGCCTACTTGTTCACTTACTCAATAAAGCTCTGCCAAGTTCTCTTGCCATTATGACTTGTCCAAAAAGTCTTATTCTGTGATGATAATCAAGGACCCTAAGTGAAGTGACATCTGCATCTGGTGACAGTTTCCCACTTCCAGCTGATTGCTGGCTAGAGCTAAGCCTGGACTTTTCTGCCCCAGATGGCTTTGAACTTTCTCAGCCTCCTGAGTAGTTAGGATTATAGGTGAGTCATTGACATCCACCTTGTTGTTTTTGAAAGTCTAGGTTTAACAAATTTCATTCACCATCTCTAACTCTAAGGCTTCTCTTTGCATGTTTTATCAATGGCTTTTCCATTCTCTCAGCATACCAGCCACCTTGATTATCTGACTTTTCTCCTATTGAAACCAGTACCTGAGTAAACCCCATATAATGGAAGCTTCCAAAGCAAGCCCTCCAGAGAGAACAACATTAGGATAACAACAGCAAAAAAAAAAAATCAACAACACAAACACTTGACAATTGAATTTTCCAGAGCAGTGGGGACTTGG